AAGTTATGTATGAGCCGAGAGGACAAGGTGGGTCAAAAAGGGTCATGATGCGTTCAAAAGCTCCCTTGTCTCCACTCGAGACGAAGTTTGACGCTTTAGCTGATCGACTAGCCGATATTTCCCTTATTATCAAGAAGAATCAGTCGAGGGATGACGCAACAGCATTCCGCCCCGCCCACGGTCGTACTTGTTCTTATTGCAAACGACCGGGTCATGGCGCTAATAGATGCGATGCGAATCCGCATAGGGACACGAAATGCCCTCGCTGCGGAAAATTTGGTCATTCAGAAACAAGCTGTTGGGCTAGAATTGGTCCACAGAGGGGAGGTAGCAGTGCCTACCCTCCTAAGAAGACCCAGACGGATATTGCCGTGTCGGGTACACAGACGGGCTCCGCAGGAAACTAGGTGAGTGTTGTGACGCACGACGACCTCCCTGCTGATGAGAAGTTAGTGGCATCAGTCAAGAGAAACGCCGATGGAGAGCCGGTGGCCAAGACGCGAAAGGATGGTGGCGGCGAGCCAATCCCGTCCCTTCTCAACCTGCGTAAGTACTGGACTCCGAACCACACGACCAAACCTCCTAAGCCCGGCCGTCGAACAAGAAAGAAGAGGACAAGTAAGAAGAACGCCGTCCAAGAGCATTCCGGGAAGTACGACGTGGTTTCTTCCCTCGCGAACGCCCCCTCTGGTTTGACATTCGGTCAACTGATTCGAGGAGATGGCGACGAGGCTAAGAAAGAGATCCGTCGTTTGTTCAACAGTCGCCCTAGACGCCTCGTTGCTGCTTCGATCAGTACTTTGCCGAAACGTCTGAAAGTAGTTTCTGTACAAGTCTACGGGACACAAATGAGAGCGTTGTTAGACTCAGGAGCTATCCCTAACGTTATGAATGCGTCTGTGGCATCGACGCTCTCTCTGTCTCCAAAGCCGACCTCGACGAAGATTACGGTCGCCAATGGACAAAAGACAACCTGCTTAGGTTCCATCGAGGAAGTTCCTGTCACGTTCAATGGTGCTGTTCACTCAACTTCTTGGTTGTTGAAGGATCCCCAGTTGATATCTTAATCGGGTATCCAACTCTCGAAGAACTTCAAGCCTGCATCGATCTAGGTCACTAGTCTGTTAGAATGTTGATCGGAAACAAAACCTTGAAAATGAGTCTGGAGTTTGATCAAGTACGTCCTATTGTCGCGGATTCGGAGACTGATAGTGAGGACTTCACTTCTGATGTCGAGTCATTCGCCTCAGAGAATTCGTCCGAAGAAGAGACCTATGTTGTCGCCATCCTCGGCAATGAACCTTTCGAGCTAGACTTAACTCTGGACGGAGCGATCGGAGAAGATGAGGAAGTAGAATCACCTGATTCGAATGTCATCAACAAGGCCGTGAAAATGCTTCGAGAAAAACTTGTGCATCTTGACAATGAAGCTCAAGCAGTCATCGAGACCGCCCTGATGAGTAAGAGTATCGTTGCTACATCCCTTGACGACCTTCGGCCTGCTGAAGTCCCAATCAAGCACCGTTTCGAGTTAGATGATACTAATCCGATCTATCACTCGGCGAGGAGAAGGGCTCCCTTGCATAACGAAATCGTTCGGAAAGAGCTGGACAAAATGCTGGAAGCAGGAATCATCACGCCTTCCAGCGCCGCATGGTCCTTTCCGGTCGTCATCGTATCCAAAAAAGATGGGAATCCACGCTTCTTTGTTGATTACCGTTCTCTGAACCAGAAGATGAAAGCAGACAGATGGCCTTTGCCGAAAATAGAAGAGATATTTGATGACTTGGAAGGAAGTGCGTACTTCACTTCTCTGGATTTGTTCAGTGGTTACTGGCAAATTCGGATGGCACAACAATGCAAAGAAATGACTACTTTCGTCTCTCGCTACGGGACGTATAAGTTCGAAGTCATGCCCTTTGGATTGATGAATGCGCCTTCGACATTTCAGAGAATGATGGATACAATCTTTCGCGGAGTGCGGTTTGTGCGTGTGTACCTCGATGACGTTGTGGTGTTCTCTAAGACTATAGAAGAACATCTTCGGCACCTGCAGCATGTATTTGATGTGCTTGACGAGGCTGGTCTTAAGCTTAAGCTGACAAAGTGTAGCTTCGCCCAGGCGAAGATCAAGTTGCTCGGTCATGTTGTCGACAAAGGCGGGATTGCTGTTGACCCGATCAAGGTCGAAGTGATTCGGAATGCACCGATCCCGACCACTACAACTGAACTTAGGAGCTTTCTGGGGTTAGCAAGCTACTACCGTCGTTTCATCTGCAACTTTGCGGACATTGCTGCGGTACTCCATGCGGCTACATCCGGAAACGGCAGATTGAAATGGACCGGAGAAATGCAAGAAGCCTTTGATGAACTACGCATAAAGTTAACTTCTCCGCCAGTCTTGGCTTACCCAGACTTCGAGAAGCCCTTCGTCGTTGAGACGGATGCGTCATCGGTCTCTGTCGGGGCTGTGTTGGCTCAAAAGAAGGAAGATGGGAAAATACACCCCATCCAGTACGCAAGCCGTACTATGAATACATCTGAGCGCAAGTACTCCGCTTGTGAGCGTGAGGCGCTTGCGGTCATCTTTGCTTTGGAGAAATTTCGTGTTTACGTGCTTTCGTCTACACCTTTCAAGTTGGTTACGGATCACCAGGCTCTTAGTTACGCCTTTCGCAAGAAAGACATCCACGGTCGTTTGGCTCGTTGGCTAGACTTCTTAGCCGAGTACGACTTCACCGTGGAATATCGTTGTGGATTCGCAAATAGTGCAGCCGATTACCTTTCTCGCATTCAGCCCAAGAACGGCGACAACCCAACTTGCCAGGAAGAGGGAGACCTTGCCCTCGCTATCACGACCCCGATCTACTCTCCAGAAGATCTAGAAGAGTCTTGCCAAGATATCATGTCCTCTCTGCAAGGCGAAACACCGGTTGGGTTGGATGATTACAGGAAGTCTCGCATGAAGAATAATGCGAAGAACTTTCTTGTCTGGGAGTCGAAGTTGTTCCGCCGCACCATTCGTGGCCTTCGTGTTGTTGCCCCAATTTCCAATCGCGAAAAGATACTGAAGGGTTTCCATGACGACATTGGTCATTGGGACTTGAAGACCACTCGTCAATTTGTCACGGAAAGGTACTGGTGGCCGACCGTTGGTATGGACGTGGGAGACTACGTGAAGAGTTGTGACGGGTGTCAGAAGGCGCGTCCGATTCCCAAATACAAGACCACTTTGCGCCTTCCCATCACAACCTTGTTTGATGTTTTCTCTATTGACTTTGCTGGACCCTTCCCTGTCACTTCGTCTGGAAATCGCTTCGTGTTGGTTGCGGTCGACCACCTCACAGGATGGCCAACTGCTCTACCCACTGCTGATAGTACTGCTCAAGTGGTTCTCGACTTCGTCAAGAGAGAAATCATGTACTCATTCGGCCCTCCGAGAACCATTGTCTCTGACAATGCTACCTGCTTCACAGCCTCGGCCGTTTCTAGCTTCATGGCTCGACACGGTATCACTTGGCGCACCGTCCTCGCCTACGCTCCCATGTCTAACGGTAGAGCAGATAGAATGGTTGGAACTTTGAAGGCTGCCGTCCGTAAGACAGTTCTTGGAACTGGAATGGAGTGGGACAAAGCACTCACCCAGGTCCTGTATGGATATCGCCGACGTGCCATGAAGAACGGCGTGTCGCCATTCGAACTGATGTATGGGATCCCGCCTCGGATGGATTCTAGTGCAGAGACAGGTGCAAGCCTGGTTGTTCCTTCCTTAGACCATCATCGTCGTTTGGAGCTCCTGACTGGATCTGTCCCACGAGCGGTTCGCTCGGGGGCCTCTGTGGAAAAAAGGCTCGTACCGTCGTCGTCTCACTTCTTCGAAGTAGGAGACAAAGTTCTTGGCGCTCGGGGAACTTCATTCGGTGGCACGAAATGGCCTGCATTCGTATCAAAGTTCTACGGGCCATGCAGAATCGTAGAAGGACGCCACCCTCGCTACGTGTTAGAGTCGCGTCATGGCCGAATGTCGAGGAAACCTATTCATGCTCGTCGACTCGTACCCTATCGTGCAAGGAAAAGTGAGCAGGACACCATGGAGTGAAGACGCATATGGATTGTAGCAAAATAGTTAATTGCGTTATTGCTGAAGTCTACGTAAGATGTATGGGCCCCTTCTATGCATTTAGAAATTAGAAACGACAGCTCGAATGAAAACTCATCTGCGTGTGACGAAGAAGATACCTGTGGCGGCGTACGCCATCTGGGCGTCACACACCACGGCCGGAATGCTCAGGATAATTCGTTTCATCTCCTGGGAAAAGGTGAACGACAGCATGCCGTCGGAGGCCGAGAACATTCCCTTGGAGAAGCCTGCGTAGAAGAAGGTGCCCGTGATGCTTCTTTCGTCGAGAACAACGCCGGAAGCGCTGCGGTTGACGAAGAGGACGAGGCAGCAGCCGCGCCGGGTGAATTCAGAGTGACGCACAGTTTGATTCATGTTTCCATGCCAAATGAGACCGCTTGCAAGGGGCAGACTCGAGGATTAAAACCTCACCTGAGTCCGCCACACAAGCAATCAAGTCAAGTATCTATGGCAAGCAAACGCCCGAATCTGCGTCGCGCTATGAACGAACTTCGTGCAGTAGTGATGAAAAAAGTAGTTAGTATGTGCACTCAAGTTGTGTGAACAATGGATTAAGGTTAGAGAAAAATACTTACAGTGAGGCTCCAGGAACACACGTGGCAACGTGGAGCGATTGGGGAATTGTTGTCGATGGTGACACTAAATTGTGTCAATTGGATCGTCAAGGTCGAGCGCCGGTTCCCTGACTCAAGCGGAGCACCAGGAGCACAGGAGCGGCCAGCGGTCAGTATATATGTTGCCCCTGCCCGGGTGTGGGGCTGGGGAGGGGGTCGTGTGGGGGAGATTTGGGGTACTGTACAGGGTACAGTACCCAGGAGTGGCCCCAGGACCAAAGCCTTCAAAAGATGATTTTATTGGTCTACGTGTACGCCAGGTGTACACGTGGACAATCTCCCTTTGAAGGGCGGCGGTCCTGGGAAGTGGAAGATGCTGGTGGCCCCTCTATAAGAGAAAGGGGCGCGCCGCGACACCCCGCGACAAGAGGGACAGAACGAAACAACAACACCCCGGACTGACCCCCGCTCTTGCAATAAACTTCACGCTTCTGAAAACAAAACTTTTCTCTCTCCCTTACGCGCGCGGCCTTCCTCCCCCCTTCTCGCCGCCAACACAAGGCATGACAAAAATGAGACTGGGCTTCTCCTCGGTAGCTCCCTCGCCCTTGACCTTGCGGAAGGGCATGGGTCATGCATCAAAGTTGCCCTTCTGCTTGTCCGTGCCCAGCGGAACGGCGTAGATATCATCCTCCTCATTGCCAGAGGACCACTTGTAAAAGGCGTGGTCCGACCAGAGGTGGGCCAGCAGGTCGTCATCGTCCATCCGCCCTCCGAACCGATGGCGGCCATTCCGTGAATTTTAGCTGGGTGGAACAGCTCTGTGTCTGTAATTCACACGGTTTATTTAGGATTCGGCCTTCCAGCCAGCGACACAACACAACCCCCGTCGCGGGCCAGCCCGACTGTGTTCTGCCAATTTCCCACGCACATCCGATCTTCATTTTTCCGCTTCCCTCGGAATGTCGCTGTGCTGATGCGAGCCCTCAAGCTCACCAACACCTCCCCTGACCTTCCATCGCCTCCAATGCTCCCAAACAACCCGCAATTGGTCAGAGGAGGAAGCGCGCGGAGTCCGAACGATGTCACTTGCGTGCCTTCCCTGGCCGTGGCGCGAACGGAACTCCGCGAAGAATCCTCCTCATGCGCGACAAGGGGGCCGAGCCAGGATGATATGGGGCATACAGCTTACTGCTGAAGACAGGTGTTGGATCGATCTCAACGATTCGGGAGACGCCCCCCTCTGACAGTGGGCGAGCTGGCGCGGGTGGTCATGAGGCCTGACGGGGAGAGGGTGGTGCATGAAATAGTGGATACACTGACGGCTTTCCCAGGAAGGGCAATGCGTGCTGAGGATATCTCGACACTCGGCTTTGTCGATAGGAAATACGGCGGGTATCTGATGAGCTCACAAGACTACGCAATTAAGCGTGTTGTCCTTGCGTCGGGCACACGTAATGGATGGACTAGGGGAAGGGGGCAGTATTACGCATCGAATATCCTCGCAGGGCCTTCCAAATCTTACTGGCCTGTGAAACTTTTCTCGATAAAGGCACACAACTTTGGTGACTTTGGAACGCTAGGAAGCCCTATTACAAGCGACGTGGAGGAACCGGAAAGGACTCAGAGAGGGAGTCCGCTGTTGGTCCTTCGCTGGAGTCGGGGTAACCGTGGCAGATTTTTGAAGGTTGTCGATGACTGGTGTGTCAAAAACCTTGACAAGACGTACAAGCTATCAAGTCCTGGGTACAGGGGAGCGTCGAAGGGGGCAGATGGGTATCTCAGTAGATCAATTCCCGTATTTGTGCGTACAAACGAGGGTCTCTGTCTCCAGGCCAGTCTTGGGAATGCCATTGAAATTCTGTCCGGTACAGAGGTGGGAAGAGAAGTTTTAAACATCTCCTTCTCTGGTATTCGAAGTATAGCGGGTGCAACAGCGTGGTTGGAAAAAAATATGAAGATATATATTATGCAGAAGGTACCATGCCATAACTTCGTATCTAGGTCATTGCGAGAATTTATGCTTGGGCAAAGCAGCGGTGTCTTTTTGGCGAGACTGGAGGGAACTGATAGGCATGGGGAAAGTCTCGAACATGTCGTCACCATCGATTCAAGGACGAAACTTGTTCATGATCCCGCGGAGCAATATGCGCTTTATGTTCGTGACAACGTATTAGATTTATGCGTTGGAGATGGTTTCGAGCTAACTTCGGTTGTCGAGATCAGGAAATTAGTTAGACAGGAAACTGGGAAGAAATCTCGGAAGAAGAGGTCAATGAGTACAGAGAAGAAGCAAGCGGTTCGCAAGAAGAAGAGATTGCAAAAGAAAAACAAGAGGCAGCCTAAAAACAGTGATTGGTTATTAAAAAGATTTTTCCTTCTTAAAAAGAACTGCGTTGGAATATTGCCTAAGCCGAATTTAAGCCTATTTATGGCTTTTAGACACAGTTCGCTAATTCTGGAGAGTATATTTATTCTGTGCGCACTGCAGCAAAGTGTGTAATTTTTGTGAAACTGTGAAATTCACGGTTTGAAAGAGTAGATAACTCCTTGGAGTCATTATGTAGATCAATCTACTCTGCATTTATGTCGATGACCTACAGATTCGACAATCTTGACCCATGCAGTGCGGAGGCAATGATCCATGATATGGTGCCGCGCCTCGCTATCGGATGCGTATGAAAATTTGGTTTGAGAGCTCATTCAAGAACTAAACAGACCACCCCTCTTTTTCAGTGGAGCTGTTCTACAATCACATCGCTTCGAGACGGAATGAATCTTGTGAGTCATGTGTACATCATATGTGAAACAGAGCAAAATGGTGTTCTCATCTTGAGCGAGTTCACAGGAGCCGCAAAAAACTTAACGGGTGCTTTGCTAGTGAATCTCTGGAACGTTGATAATGGTCAGCGATGCAATTTTTCAGAGCCTGGAAATGCCCGACTTCGAGAGAGAGTTGAAACACCAGAAAGTATACCGCCATGTCGACTTGCACACTGCGTCCGCATCGGGCGTTCGCTTCATTGACGGTATAGTCAAATACTCCGCGAATCGCAAGGCAAAAGCGATACAACTAATTCCGATACCAACACACCATGTTAGATATTCATACCGTGCTACGAAGGAGAAACGATTGTTTTCCTTTGATTCCGATGGTACTCTTCCCACGGTTGAGAGTCGGTCAGAGTTGGCGGAACCCTCTGAGCAACTTCTCGAAGTTCTGCGCCGTCTTGCCAGTTGTGATCAAAATATTGTGTTCATTGCGACAGAGGCAAAAGAACACAGTCATGGATTGGTTCAGAAGAGTAGGCCTTGGTTTTGCCGTAGAACACGAGTTTTCTGCGCGATGGTCAGACCTTTTACGGGAGAGGTTTGGGGGCTGTAGAATGAGTGGATTGCTAGAGTGTGGAGAGGAGGAGACGTTCGAAACCACCGGAAATACTGTAGTCGGGAAACGCGACGAAACTTGGGATGACTCATTAAGCCCCCATGATCTCATTGCAATGAGAGACGCGCTTGATTTGGCCGGTCTGTTGTTGAAACGAATTGAGGACAGCACACCTACGAGCTTCTTGTCGCAGAAAGAGATTGCATATAGGTGGCATTTCAGAGATGCCGATCCCGACTTCCCAGTGATTCGAGCACATGATGCTCGGCAAGCGCTCGAGGAGGTGCTACACGGCAGTCCGATGGAGGTCTTGATGGGGCAAAAACTCCTTTACGTTCAGTTCGACCGCGAGGGGTGCACAACGGAGCAGCAGTGGCTGAAGTGTTCAGACGTATGCGGCATACATGCCACGCCGCGATCAGTATTGTGACTCGGGCATACCGTATGCCCGAGTCACAATACTGATCCATGGATATAAATATTCTTATTACATAAAAAATAACATCCCGCCGTGCGCTGGTGTGCCGCGCGCTGGACACGTACCGCCTGCAGAGCGAGGTGTATTTCATGGAGCGCGCGACGAGGCGCCCCCATCCGCAAGCGGCACGAGCGCGTCCAGGAGACCCCGCTCGTAATTGCCCTTCATCCCGTTTCGTCGTGTGAGCCCACCATGGCGGTCTCCATTCGTTTCGTCCTTCTCATCTTCGTCTTCCTTCTCACATTCTCGGTTGTCCAAAGCCAGAAGCAGCCCTTCAAGCTTCACCAACAACTGCACCTGACAACAGCACCCCACCCCCAGGACTAGCTGGGGGCAATGGACCGGGTGGTCCTGGCGCTGGCCCCCTCCCTTCTCATCCGCCCAGTACGTTGCTCCGCAAACTCGCTATCGCAGTCATCTCTATTGCTACTGGCTCTGCCATCATCACTATCCTCGCTTGTGTCTGGTGCTGTGTGCTGCCTCCAGAGCTCTCAAACATGGACAAGAGTCCAGCTGTCCATACTAAGACTATCCCCCTTCCTCCTGCTGTCTCGCCACCCCACCCGGACGACGTGCTCACCGGCGATCACACTCAACCTCTCGCTAAGGAGCATATTTATCAATACTCGCCGGAAAGAGTTTAGCGCTACTCTCGTCGTCTCGTTCCGCGCGATTTCGCTATGTCGAACAGCAAAACTGTGGTTTGTGTTCTTGTTCAGCTGCTCCCCGCTCCGGCCCCTCTGTCATGCTGCGCACTTACACCCGCACCACCGTCCCGCGGGCGCCGTCACCCATCCCCGCCCCGCATTGAACAAAAGGATCCCGCTTCTCCCCGTTCCACCTGACTACACATTTCCCGCATCTTACCACCGCCTCTTTACCCTCTCACTTCCCGCCCCTCGCACCTCTCGGCCCCAACCATCGCCTCCTCACCCCCCTGCAGGGGGTGAAGTGGCCCCCGGCGGCTCCCGCCGCCGCATCCAGTCGCGCAACTTCTCCGAGGTCGACTTCATGGACTCCGGCCCGGGCCGCTCGCTCATGTCTGACCCGCGGTCCTCGGCCTGCAGCACGAGCTCGACTCGCTGCAGCTCGACGAAGTCCTCGTCGAGGAGTACCTGCTCGCCAAGCCGGTACTGCGCACATTTCTTTCGCAATTTTGTTCACACCAAGACGCCACCCTCATGCCCTCCTTTTTCGGTTCTCGCTCCACCTGGTCTACCTGTATACTTTTCTGTATTTGTACAACACTCTTGTACATCGCGCTTTCTTCTACGAAAGAGGCATCATACCACTTTCTCATTTATTAGCATGCTAGTTCCTTAAGCCCATCTCCTCACCTTGCCCTTTGCCACCTTCTCCACTGGGTTGTACACTAAAGTTGAATCGTCTAGTCGACACATCCCGACATCTTAGTACACATTGGCTTCCCAGCTTCGTTATGTTCAACTCCGCGTTCGGTGCTCGAGGTTCACCTAACTTCCTTTCGTGCCTCTGAATTTCGCTTTGATCAAACCTTGCCGCTGCAATCTATAGCGCTAATAGACCCATCATCATAAACTGTTACTGTCTTCATCCCCTTCATTTCAAACGTCGTTCCCCAAACCAAATCTCGGTGTCCCTTACAGATATACAAAGTTTCCCCCATCCGGCGATCCCAAATATTGACAGTCCTATCACTCCCCCGCTCACAATAAACTCCGAATCATCTGACCCGGCCGCACTCAGAACCAACCCTTCATGCCCCCGACATGTCTTTGCAGCATGCCCCG